TCAGATTGTGACCCCCATACCTGTGATCTTACTTGTAGCTGTAATCACAGGCTCGCACCACCAAGCCTTTTTTTTTTTTTTTTTTTGGCTTATTTGTTGAGATTGGTATCTTGCTAATTTTTGCTCAAGCTGGGGCTCAAACTGTAATACTCCTGTTCTCTGCTCCCTGAGTACCTGGGATTACAGATGTGCACCATCACACCTGGCTAAATCTCTTTTCTTTAATAAAGTATTTCATTATAGTAATGGAAATCTGACTAGTATTCTTTATTTATAGATCTGCTCAGATCTTAAAGTTTACCCTTAAGTATCTCACTTTTTGATGTTATTATTAATGGTATTACTTAAAATTTTCATTTTCTTAAAGTTCATTCCTGGAAAACATATGTAATTGATTTTTTATTATTTATTTTTGGTGGTACTGGGGTTTAACTCAGGTCCTTGTGCTTGCCAAGTAAGCACTCTACCACTTGAGCCATAGAGTATCACTAACTTTTTTGCCTGGGACCTCAAACCACTATCCTCCCAATCCCCACCTCCCAAGTGGCTGGAACTACAAAGGTGTATCACCACACCTAGCCCTTACAATTTATTTTTATATATTGACCTTGTATGCCATGAGCTTGCTAGAGTCTTATTTTTTTCCAGGATTTTTCTGTTGCCATTGTTCTCTAGATTTCTAGCACACAGTTGGTTTTGCTTCGTGGTCCAAACATATTTGAAGGAGGCAGCTCTTTTGGTCCCATTTGACCTGGTCTTCCAGGCCCATCTCAGTTGCTCAAAGCTACAGTGATAAAGTGGTTGCAATGGTGGAGGAAGAGGTCAAGTCCAGGATTGTCATTTCCACTTGGGTTATTATATGAATACTGGGGTTAGAAATGGCATTGTGATGGGGGTGTGGCTCAAGTGGTACTAGCAAGTGCAAGTTCAAATCCCAGCACCCCCGGCAAAGTGGCACTGTATTCAGTAAAGAATTCATGAGAAAATAAAAGTATTCCAAATACACACGTTTATAAATATTGCAAGACATCTCTCAGGCCCCTTCAGACTTTGCTGCCTCCTTTGCCTTCAGTTCCATCACCCAGGGGACGTGTGGGAGTGCCACTTTGGTGTCCCAAATGTTGGCTTTGTGGCTTCTCCTAGTGCAGTGTTTCAGAGCATCTCCTCTGGGCGGTGACTCCAGCCTCATCAAGGCCACAGTGAAGTAATTTCCATCTCTCTCTCACAATCTGAGAGTCTGGCTGCTGATAGATTCTGATGACATCCCTCCCCTATAGGACTCCTCTACTGGGTCCCTGCTTAGTTTTTTATTCCCCAAGGGTGCCAGAGAGGCAGCTGGGAAGTTGCCAGAGCCTTGGGGTGACTGGTAGGAGTTGGAACCTGAGCTAAGAAAGTAAAAAGTCAGCTATTGATGTCTGAATGAGTGGTGTCACAGTAACACAAACCTGAGTATTGGGCTGTTAGTCAGCTTTTCATTGCTGTCTGCGCAGGTTGTCTGTTTCTTGAGTCCCTTTTGGGAGAATGCGTCTTTCCAGGAAATTTCCCATCTTTTAGGTTATCTAATTTGTTGGTATTCAACTGTTCACAGTATTTCTTTATAAGCCTTTTTTCTGTAAGATAGGAGCCATGTCCTCCCCTTCATTCTTGATTTTTTTTTCTAGGACAATCTAGCTAAATCAAATTTGATGTTTTCAAGGGACCAGCTCTTGATTTCATTGATTTTCTCCATTTTTCTTTAGTTCACTTATTTCCACTTTCATCTGTTTCTTTTTCTTTTTTTTTTTTGCTTTGGGTATGGCTTGCTCTTGCTTTTCATTTCTTAAAATGGAAGTTTAGGTTGGTTTTTCTTCATGTAGTGTAAGCATAAACAGCTCCACATTTCCCTGTAAGTGTGGACTATGTGGGAGTTTTGCTCTCATTCATCTCAAAGTTTTCTAACTTCTCTTTGGGTTTATTCTTTGACCTATTAGTTATGTAGGAGTTGTTCACTATTTTAAGTAAGGATTAATACTAGTAGTTAACTTTACAATCTAGTGTATAGGGAAAAGAATGGTTAGACTGCTACTAAATTTGAGTTGACTTTGTCTCCTCATTCTAGGGAACAAGTACATTTATTTATTTATTTTTTTTACAAAGGACAGTGACATCTTAGCAAAACACAAAGCTGTGTCTACTGTGTAGGAATTCAAGTATGAGCAGAATGGTCACAGGAGTAGAATGTGCTAGATAGTTAGCCAATGTCTTCCAGCTTCAACCCCCCCCTTCCATACTTTGCACTCCACTTTGTGATGCTAGAGCTAGAACTCCACAAAATGCATTTATCATCTGCCCTACCCTCATTCTGTGAATAAGAAGTGCAACAGATAGTGGAAATCCAGGGAGGACATGGCCAGTGGGGAGCTGAGGCAGGACCTGAACCATTTCTGAATCCGAGTAAGGTTTGAAGCACATTTATAAAACAGAAGGAAAATAATCTTAGGTCTCTCTGAAGATAAAGTACAAAATACAATAGTTTTATACTGCCGCACAAAACAATATAGGCCTTGAAAGCTTCAAGTTCACTTCTTCAAGAGCTTTGCAGATATTAAAGCCAAGGTTACAATATTTTGATATAACAGTGCTAAAAAAAGGTCCTATACTATAGATCTTCAGAGTTGATATTTTTATCTGAAATATAATTCAAATCTCGTAACACTTATGCTCTAAAACTGTGTCTATTTGGCTTTGATTCCCACTGGATTGTGTCTGAAATGCTGACCTATTCATCCACTTTGAGCAGCTTTTGGTGGCTTGTAGAAAAACAGCCAAGATATCATCAAGTCCACACACTCACAGAAGAGGAGGTGATGTAGCCAGAGAGGCAGGACTGAAGTGATGTGACCACTAGTTAAGGGATGCTAGCAGCCACTAGAACCCAGAAGAGGCAGAGAGAAGCACAGCCCTACATACACCTTGAGGATGACCCAATGAAACTGTGAACTTGAACTCTAGAGCTGAGAGAATGTTTTACCCAACCAAGTTTGTGGCCATTTGTTGTAGCATCTACAGCAAACCAATATATTAAGTTTAACCTGTCTTCATGTATTTATTGACTGGTACATTTTTTCCTGATTTGAAAATGTCATTATGTTTCTTGCTTACTTTTTCTATAATGAAATATATTTTTCTTCTGGATTTTCTAATAATTTACAGTTTTGTATGTATACATTGGTATTTATACGCTTTCAGCTTTGTCTAGCTAAGTACAGCAAATAATTTCCCAATTTATAATAAACTTTTAAATGTGTTAAGTTTTTGGATGAAAAAAATCCACATGCTCATTTGTTTTATAGGAAAAGCCATTTAAACCTCCTGTTTCCCAGTGACCTCTTACAGTCTGTTGCTTACAGGGCCCACCAGAGTGCTGCCTGTTGGTCTGGGCCAGCAGAAGCTCAGGCTAAGCATCTTGGGGTTACTAATACCTTTCCTAGAGATGTTTAAAATCAGGTACGGGGCAAAATCTGCAATGCAAGTTTACATTCACCCAAACCTGCCGAGAGTGACACCTGCTGGTCATAAAAATCACATCTTTACTCCATCTGAACTTCTGGAGATGTTATCAGTGATCTTTATCATACAGTAAAACTTAAGAAAACCGGCTATCTCTTTCTTGAGAAAAGAGAAACTAACATATATAGTTTATATGTTGTATTATTATGGGAGTTTTTTTCAACTAAAACATCTGAGTCTTTTCCTCATTTTAGCAAACACTGTAGGCTCTTTCATCTGATCAAGGGAAAATAATTTATTTTAGAATTTGAAAATGAATCAAAAACCCTAGTTAGCCATTTCCTTAAAACTGTTCTTTGGGTTTTTGTTTCAGAGCAGAAATTAAGTTAGTCTAAGAAAGAATCCTAATGGAGTTAATGAAAGACTGGCTGTCAAGGTCATGTCACCCAATCCTGCTGTCAGGTATTGTGCTGTCAAGTTTCAGGCTTCCACATACCCTTGTCTCTCCCTACTTCTTTCCTTCCTGTCTTTAGAACTGTAGACACATTAAACTTTTTATTATACACATCTAGATTCCTATATTAGCTTTGAGAATTTTTCCCACTGCTCTTGATGTAAGAAAAATTAAGAGCTGAATGTTGTATTTCTATTTTTAAATGAAAGGCATGCATTTATGTTTATTGTTAACAGTTTTTTTTTTTTTTTTGGTGGTTCTGGGGATTGAAGCAGGGCCTCACGCTTGCTAGGCAGGTGATTCCCCCAACCTTTTTCTATTTAGTTATTTTTTGGATAAGGTATTGAGTTTTTTCGTGGGGTAGGCCTTGGATAGTGATCCTACCTACAGCTTCCCATTAAGCTGGGATTACAGATGTTTGTGCTGCCATGCTCAGGTTGTTTGTTGAGATGAGGTCTCACCAACTTTTTACACTGAGTGGCCTTGGACAATGATCCTCTGGATCTCTGCCTCCCCAGTAGTTGGGATTACAAGCGCAAGCCACCAGGCCCACCCTCTATGGGGAATTTTTTGATGGCCCTAAATTACTCCGTGATTTTCCGTTGATTTACTAAAAATTCATATTCTGGCCCACTTAAAGTTTGGAACTATCTTAGAAAAAATATATAAGATATAAGTGAGAAAATTAGGGTAAAGACAAAGTAAGCATGGGAAAATAAGATTAGACCTAACTGATTAAGAACGAGGCTCCTTGCTGCACGCCAGTGGCTCACACCTATAATCCCAGCTACTCGGGAGGCAGAATCAAGAGAATTATGGTTTGAAGGCAGCATGGGCAAATAGCTCTTGAGACCCTGCCTCCAAAATCCCTAACACAAAACAGGGCTGGTGGGGTGGCTCAAGGGATAGTGCACCTATTAGCAAGCATAAGGCCCGAGTTCAAACTCCTGTACCAAAAAAAAAAAAAAAAAAGGCACAGTAGCATTTGATGCTACCTGTATTTGCCCTCTGGTAGATGTTTCAGGGCTTTATTCAGGATATACTGAACTTTGCGTTTTCTCTTTACATACTTCTTTTTAAGTTTTTCTTAACATTTAAAAACGTCTTCCTAGTATCTTTTAAATAAACAGTTCCTTACAAAAAAAAATAAAAGTCTTATATACAGTAGATCATCTCTTCCCTCACTATATTTTATAACCCTCTTCTAATTTCATCGACCTCTCCAAAAAAGCCTTCTGAAGATGAGAGGACTCAGTCTGTCACTTTGCCCTTAACTTTGGGGAGGTCTTCTTTTGGCTCAATCCCTAGTCACCATACCATTTAAGTGGATATTCCAGTGCTTAGTTACATAGAAACTCAGCATTGGAAAAATCCTGGAATCAGCCAGGCAGTGGTACTCAGTCTTTTTATGTTCCACTTGTTCTCAAAACACATTCGATATGCCTCATTAAAAGTTAAATCAGCTAAACTTTTTAAGTATAGAACTGAGTATATCATAAATATAAAAGGAAAGAAAACAGAATTACAGCTTAATTTTACAATGGTAGTAAGAATGTATTTAAGAAGTGTACATTTGAAAAGTACATCATTCTACAGTGACCTCTGCTGTAGCTGCAGCTTTTGTTCAATGATGTCTGAGAAGCGAGGAACTTTTTTGGAAATAGCCACGCGGATATCATCGCTCATATTGAAGCAGTTTCTGGACTTTGTTTTGAAATGTAAAAGCGATGAAAACCCCAACTCACAAAGGTATGTAGTTGCAAAAGGCGTGAGGATTTCTAGAGCTGTTTTTGCCAGGTTTGGAAACGCCTTGAGCTGAGCACACCAGAAGTCCTCAAGTTTCTTCGTCTCAAATTCCATTAAGATCTGGCCACTAGCTCGCAACTCCGCAAGATCCTTTTTCACTGAGTAACCATCACTGACAAAATCGAGATTAAAAAGAAACGGATCTAGCACCCATTTGCTTGCCTCATCAAGATCTCCAACAGCAAAATACCCATGGAAGGAGGAGCTCAGCTCCTGCAGGTGCAGGACTATCTCCCCTGCAATGCTTGCCCCCTCATTATCTGAAACAACTAGTTCTTCAAGAAACGGAAAGTCGGTAAAATTTCCTTTCCCAACTCGTTTCTGCCAAAATGGAAACTTCCTCACAAAAGCGGATACCTTTTCTCTAGCGGACACAGTGTTCATTCCGGTCCGCTGCACAGAGGCGCTGAGTTCATTCACATGCTTGAATAAATCTGCGAGGTAGGCTAGGTGAACTTTGAACTCTTTATTTTCAAAGCCTTCAATTAAATTACTGCTTTGGTGGTGAAGAAACTGATTTATTTCTTCATACATTTCAAAAATATGCGTTAGAATTTGGCCTCGGGAAAGCCACCTCATTTCAGTATGGAAAAGGAGGACACTGAATTCTACACCGATTTCTTCAAAGAAAGCCTGGATTAGGCGATGATTTGGGGCTCGCCCTTTGAGGAAATTTATTACTCTCACCACGGTCAACAGAGCCTCCTTCAGTTTTCCAGGCAATGTCTTTGTGATAAGCGCATGAGGGTTCAACAGACAATGTGTGATCAGGATACGAGGCACCTCTTTTTTCAAACGGGCAATGAATTCTGAATTTTCTCCCAGCATGGCGGAGGCGCCATCAGTACAAACAGAGCCACACACATCAAGCGCTATCTCGTGCTTCAAAAAGAAGTCTCTAAAGAGACTGAATACATCCATTCCTTTGGTGGTTAACTGCAGAGGTTCACAGAACAGGAATTCTTCTACGACCTCTTTCTCTTTTATATATCGCACAAACGCCATTAGCTGGCTGCAGTCGTCCATGTCAGAAGTCTCAGCAAGCTGAATACCCACCTTGAGAGGACTGGCTTTGATGTCTTCCACAACTTGCTGTAAGATATCCTGGCTCATTTCATCAATTCTAGAATGGATCACATCATCTGATAAAGGTACCTGCTGAAGCTTCTTTTGTGCATCTGGTCCCAAAACTATCTGTGCTATTTCCAGTGCACAAGGCTTGACTAATTTCTCAGCTACTGTATGAGGACTCTTCTCCTTGGCACATAAATACGCAAACTGGTATGACGCTTGCAATAAGGCATCCTCCTGAGACGCAACTCCAAGTGTGTTCAAGGTCTGGCTCCGATCAGATGGTGCTGGCACATGCTTCAGGCTCTTGAGATCGTGCCCAGCTACGCCACCATGCTGTCTGTTGAAATGGTCTGAGAGTTTTGATGGCCTGAGGTCAGCATTGGAGAATACTGAGTTACACAATACACACTGTGGCCGATGAGTTCCATCAACCTCTGTTGTGCAGGTGAACCAGTAGCGGACATAGTCATCTTCCCATTTGCGTTTCTTTGACATGGCTCACAAAAATTCTCAGGGTGTATTCCAAAGATGACACAGAACTGTGCTTTGGGAGTAAAATACAACCCATACATTAAAAATCAGTGGCTACCTGAGTTAATAAGTCACATTATATGCTGTCCTGTCTCACATGCTATCCTGTTTGTGTCAGGAAATGCCCTTCAACATGTCAGTTCAAAGTAAGCCGTGACAGCATGACGGTCCAACTTAAAGTGAGCAACTCAGAGCTAATGCTCTAGAATAAGTGATTTCCTAGCAAGTCACACGTGGGAGATTTGGGGTTAGGCAAGTTATGAATACCTGTAAGTCCTTTACAGGCAAACTGCATTTATGACTTAATTTGTTTTCAATGTCTCTTACAAACAAATCTGGTACATACTGTATCACCCCTCCTTCCCTCCTATGCCAAAGATGTACACACGTGCTCAGTTAAAAACCACTGGACAGAGAAAGGAGCAATTCATGAATACTCAAAGGCGGGGCATATTTTGATAAGGTGGATGATTCTTTTGAACAGTTAAAGACAGGCCTGTAAAACTGTTTGATCCTTAAGCAGCTTTGACCTCAGCTTAAGCAAGAATTTCAAACAGGTCTTTAAGGCTGTTAAATCTGCTTTGACACAAAGGTTACAAATCTGGCTCACAGCTTCCTTGCTAAGTGTTAACACAGTCAGTTCACGTTCTATACAAAAGCAAAACTAAGTGCTCAGGAGACTCACAAGTATTCTTATTACTGACACTTCAGGAAAATTATTCTCATATGAGGATGCCCTTAACTACAAGCATGTTCATGGTGTTCTTCATATAACTACTCCCCTGCCCCGCCCCAGGAAAAATGGTCAAGACAGAAACCAGAATAACAATGAAAATATGCAGCGTCCCTAAGATGTGGCCTAATCCAGAGACAGAAGGTTGAGGGCCAGTGGCTCAACAGTTTAGTTATGGAGGAATCAGCCGAGTCTCAGGCTAAAATGCACGCTCCTAGGCCCTATCCTAGAGATTCTGATCCTCTACCTCTGAGGTGAGGACCCAGAATATGCATTCCACATAAGCACTTCAGGTAATTCTTAGGAACAGAAACAAAGCAGCACACTGTAATCAGGGGGAACCCTGGAACTATGCTCATCCCTGGGCACTTGCTGGGAATGGTAGTACACACAAGTAATCCCAGCACTTGGGAGGCTGAGGTACGAGGCTCCTGAATTTGACGCCAGCCTTGAATACATAATGAGACCGTCTTGAAGAAAAAAATAGACTTATTTTGAACAAGAGTTTTAGGAAAATCCACTTATTCTTCTCCATCCCCCTCAGAAAGGGAGAATAGGTGGCAAGAATTTTTAAGATCTTTGAAGATGAATTTAATGCCCAAGAGGCTTTCTTATTTTAGAACCTCACAGTTGTCACTTGCTCTTTTGTGGTATTTGGGAATAACAATATCCTAAAAGATGTAAACATTAAAAAAGCATCATCATGAGGAATTACTGATTTACACAGGCTTGATAATGGTATCATGGTTGTGTTAAAAACATTTTAATTTGTTAGATATGGACTTCATTATTTACAAGTGAAGTGAGGTCTGGGACTTCCTCTGAAAGAAAGTACTCTAGCACACACACAAATATAAGCATACGTAATGTGGTGTGGAGATAAAAGAAGCAAGACTGGCCTTGAGCTGGTAACTTTTTTTTTTGGCACTGGGGTTTGAACTCAGGGCCTAGGTCTTGAGCCACTCCACCAGCCCTTTTGTGTGTCAAGATGAGGTCTCATGAACTACTTACTGGCTTGGGTTGGCTTCAAACCATGCTCCTCCTGACCTCTGCCTTCTGAGTAGCTAGGATAACAGGTGTGAGCCATCTGAGCCCCTGCAAGTCCTGAGGCCAGACGATAGGCACACTTCATTTCAGCCTATAATCTATTTTTATGTACGTGGGAAGTTTTCTGCAGTAAAAAGTAAACAAAGCATTGCCGTAAGGCAGCTATAATTCAATTGCAGAACACTTCCAACAGTCTTAAGCCATCTTAAAATGATGCATAAAAGATCTGACATCACAAAGTGAAATGTTTTTGCAAGTTTGTGAAGTGTAGACATGAAATAGTACCACAGGTGAGATGAAAATCAGTTAAAAGTGAGTTCATGTAACAGAAATATTTAGGAAATGCATATATAATGCATACATAAATACAGTCATGATACGTATGTGTGCATTATATATATGTATTTTTTTGGGGGTAGGGGTAGGACTGACGTTTGAACTCAGGGCTTCCCACTTAAAAAGCAGGCGGTCTACCACTTGAGCCACACCTCCGGTCCATTTTGCTCTGATTGTTTTGGAGATGGGGACTTGTGAACTATTTGCCTAGCCTCGAACCTTGATCCTCGATCCTCCAGATCTCAGCCTCTCAAGTAGCTAGGATTACAGGAGTGAGCCGCAGAGCCCGGAGATATATATATATATATATATAGATATATATATATATCTATATATATATATATATATCTATATATATATATATATTTTTTTTTTTTCAGGAGTGAAAACACCGAAGTGCTTGAAGCCACAAATAGTTTAACCTCTCTCCTGTAAGGTCCGAGGTGGGCGGTGTCTGGCGGCAGAAGTGACCGAGACCTTGCACAGTGACCGTCCACAGGCAAAGGCTGCACCTGCGTCCTGGCTTTGTCACTGAGACGGGACCTTCCGACTCCTCAGCTGGAGATGGCAGTACCTACCTTACCCGGCCGTTGGGACACTTAAGAGTGACAACGCGTGCATCTGAGCTGCGGCCCTGACGGCGTGGCCGGAGCGGAGTTTGGGGTCTGAAGCCAAGGTTGGCTCTCCGCAGCCCGCCGGCAACCCGAGGCGCAGGCCCCGCTTCGGGCTCCAGTTCTGCTGTCCGCTCAGAATGGGGCTCAGGGACTCGGAACCAGTCCGGGCGGCGGTTCCTTAGGTCCGACCCTAGAGTAGAAATTTGAGGGGCGAGAAGAAACCAGAGCAGCTAGCTGCACTCCAGCAAGGGCATGGGTTCCATCCGGGTCCTTGGTTGCTTCCCGCCCACAAATGGGCGTGGCGTCCGCTGCACGCATGCGCAGTCGCCACCGCGGAGGGGCGGGGCGGAGGACAAAAGGGCGCGCGTGCACTGCTTCTGCCCAGGCCTCCTAGTTTGGGAAATTGGAGGTTTTTTGTTGTGTGGGCCAAAGGCGTTGAATCATTCAAGGTCAGGGACGAATGGTACGGTTAAGTCCACATAGTCACAGTTTTTAACACTTAGAGCACTGGAACATTTTATATTGTCATCAAAGCTTTTCAGAGTTGAGACAGTTCCCGTATTGCATGTGGCGTCAACTGAGGATAAAGAGAAGGAAACTCAATGTACTCTTGAGTTGAACACTTGGGAAAATGGAGACGTTAAGTTTCATTAAGATACAGTGGAGAAATGTACACATAACTGAGAGAGAGAGAATGCAATAGTGCATCTAAGGGGACTAAAGAAGGCAGGAGAGGAAAAGAGAAGAATAATACTGAAATACACTGCACCTCTGTATGAAGATTGCGTAACAAAATGCAATGAGAGCTGCTGAGTAATAGGGGATCAGGACGATAAAGAGTAATAGAAGGTAATAGAATGGAAGAGCTGTATCATACTTAAATTAACTCTGAAATACAGTGAATAATAATAGCTGTTGAAATACCAAGGCAAAAACCCTCTTAAACAACCAATATACACTTTAAAAGATGAAGGACAGGAAGGTAGAGGTCCCCTCGGGGTGGGTACCAGTGGAAGGAGGTGGGTAAACATAGTGGGTGGAGGGCAAATGCCATCATTGGGTATACTTTCTATACCAGTATGAAAACAGAACAATTAAACCTGTTGAAATTGTTCTGAGAGGGAGGGGGAATGAGGGAGAAAGATGGAGGGGGTGAATCTAAGATACACTGTAGCACATTAAAATGTCACAATGAAACCCCCCTGTATAAATTGTAAAAATAATGTACTGACAAAAAAAAAAAAAAAGCCAGTGGAGAACAGGCTTCCACAGCTTGTGCTTGGTTCTCATGCCAGTTGTCCCCTTCCCCTAAATTACAGCATGTTGATTGTCCTAAGACTCAAACCACCTCAGACAAAAGATTTTATTTAATTACTATTGGTTTTTTGAGACAGTGTCTATGTAGCCCAAGCTGCCCTCAAACTCACAGTCCTCTTTTAGCCTCCTGAATGCTAGGATTATAGGTGTGGTTTGCCATACTGGACTAAAATTATTTTTAATGACATGTCTAAATGTAATAAACCTATATTAGAGAGATCTTAGAGAACAATCCTACTGTAGAAACTAGATGTCACCTAAAGCTACAAGAGACCAGCCGCCTGGTTGGCAACCAGGGTCTTGAATACTAAACTTTTTAATTAGACACACCTGGCTTCACATTCTTGCTCCAGTGCTTTAACTGTTAAGAACCAAGGAACCTACTTGGAGTTGCTGAATATGTGCTAATTGTAAAATAGGGATACAATCCTTTATTGCACGGAATTCTTTTCTTGGCAGTACTGAAACTTGAACTCAGGGTCTTGCAATTGCGAGCCAGGTGCTCTACCATTTGAGCCACACCTAGCCAGTCTGTGAAATTCTTTTGAGGCATAAGACAACACATAAAAACTACAGCACATAGTCCCAATGCTCAAAAGGCAGTTATTACTGAGACAATAAAATCAGAGATCATTTCTGAGTGATGTTCTAGGTATTACTTTTTTCCCCAAAATTTAAAAGAAATAAGACAAGATCTTGGGTATAACATAATTCTTTCTAAAAGTAGGATAAGCTTACTTTAGAGAGTAGGGAACAAAAAGGTTAAAGTGACCTAGTTTTAAGGTAAAGGATGCTGAAACTTTGTAAAACAAACTTGCAAAAGTTAACCCAGGCTCCTTGCTAGTTCTATAACCCCATTTCTCTACAAAATATTTGAAATAATGCTACAAACCACTCATGGTCAAATATTAATTCTTTATTAACAAAAGATAAAATGCAAAATAGACACCAATGTCAGACTTTCTGTTGAACCATCCTAAGGAAGGACTATGAAAACAAGAATTTTGACCTGCTTAAAGAGCTCGCTTTGCATTGCAGTTTTAATTTCATGTTAAATCTGCGTCATGTGTCCATAGTATTTGGTAATCTAAGTTCCCTTCCACCACTTCTGAGACGTGGACTTAATGCACTACAAGTGGCTTTTGGTGGTTAAGTCTATGCATGCTGATGTCAGGATCTTTTAACAGGCTGTTTTCACTGACCCCACTCTGTCAGCATTATATTCACAAAGCTCTTAGAAAAGGTTTGAGAGGCATGGCAAAATCAGTAACTAAGATGCCTATAAGCCAGCCCTACAACATTTTGATGAAATCTTCAATTTCGTTTTGGTCTCTGCAAATTTTATAACGTGACACTAGCTGATTATGAAGATTAGGTACACTGCAGGTTCTATAATTTATTTTTTTGGTGGCATTGGGGTTTGAAGTCAGGGCTTTGTGCTTGCTAGGCAGGCACTCTACTGCTTGATAGAAGATGTCCTCTAGACTTCTATCATCTATCATAGAAGAAGTCCTCTAGACTTCTATCATCTTAAAATCTAATTTAATATCATGATTGTTACATAAAGGGCATCACAACTAGAACAATAAATGTCATGAATAATTTCCTTTATGTCTAAAAGCTCATGATCAGTATGGTAAGAGACCTAGTGCTAATCAGTCAGTACCGACTGAAGGATGAGAGAATAGCTGTCCTTCCATTCAAAGGTAATTTACTTCTGGATGTAAGGTAAAAGTAAATGCACTAAAAAGCAAAATTAAACAATCAAATGAAAACCAGATTTATTATTTTACAGATTATGGAAGATAAAGTTATTTACATTACATTTAGACTTTTTCAGGATCCAAATACTACCTTAGTATTTGGTAGTATTCTACCTTAGAAAAAATTTTTTAGTTTCAGACCAAGAAAATTATAGAAGGCAAAAACATGCAATTATAAAATAACTGCAATTATAGAGGTAAATTATTAAATTACTAACTAAAAAAAATGAATCCCTGGTTTTAAGAATAATCTACTTTAAAATGTGTGCAAATAATAAACAAAATTTGAGGAAATAAAGTCAGAGACTTAACTTTTGAGTATAAATTTTTTGGTTTGTCTCAATCTTTGAGACAGGGTCTCCCTACGTAGCCCAGGCTGGCCTTGCAAGTGTCCATCACCACTTGTAGGAAGACATTCTTGATAGGTAGAGAGTCAAGGCTACCTTCTACATCACTAATTACATTGGATTATTTCCAATCTTAATCTATACTTACTGTGCCTCCTTCTGTTTTGTTTTTCATTGTGGAAAAGAATGAAGTTACTTTGAGACTTCTGAAAGCTTTATTAAAGTCAGGAAGCAAGAATAGTCACCATCAGCAGGAAGCTGAAAAGAACACGTGGGTTGTGTCTCTCGTGGATGACCTTCTAGACTAGTTACTGCTGTCCAAGGAAAGAGGCCATAGGGTCATCTGGCCTCTGACGCTTCATTCTATAGGCCTCCATTTCCTCTTCGGTGGGCTCCCGAGTTTCATATATGCTGTTGTAAGGCCGCTTCCTCTCATCAATCTGCATGATCTCCTTGACATGAAGAAGGCGAGCCTCCTCTGCATTCAGTGCCTAGAGAGAGAAGAAAAGCAGTATCATGACTACATCAGATCTCTTTTGAAGGGGCAGTGCACCAAAGACCCCACTGAATCTGAAGTGCCTGTGTTCAAAGCCTCACGTTACCCGAATGAGCTCAGGAGCCAGCCCTTGCACCGTGAAGCTACAACAAGTTACTGTGTGGCTCGTAAGATATTTTCACAGAGAATAGAATGTTCTATGACATTTTTAGTCAGTGTTAAAGAAATTGTACTTTGTAATGAAAACTGAATGAGGTCCATTTTTTTTCTGATACAAGCCCACAGCTGATGTTTCTGTTGTACAGCACAATTCTGATTTTTCTCCAGGACTTGCCAAAACCTACAAATGATGGAGTGAGAAGGCCATTCTCTCTGGGCAATATGTCACAGTTCTCAAATGACAGCTTTACAAACACATTTCTTCAGTGCAATAGCAATATCTATCAAACAGTCCAAGACAGCAACACTTAGTCATGAAATCTCCATTAAAGTCCCTACAAATACAGGACACTGCTATGTGTGACTTAGACTTCAAAGTACCTTTTTCAGTTTCTCATGTTTCTTTTCTTCATCATCACTCTCTGAACTGCTCTTTCGGTGTTTCTTCTTTTTCTTTTTTTTCTTCTTTTTCTCTTCTTTTAGTTTTTCCTGATGTATCTGAGAGAGAAGATTGAAATACAGTGCTATTCGTGTGGGAACAAAACCCCACCACAAGTTTTAAAGTCCTCTCGCCAGGACTTACAAATTTAGAACAAATGATTTTAACTCACCTCCATGAGGGTTTGGGGTTTTTTCACAGATTCTTCCCCACTTGCATCATTTATAACACATTCCTCTGAGTTCTGTGGAAAAAAGCATCACAGTTACTAATCATTAAAGAACAAGTTAAAGTTGGAAGTTGGAAACATGAGAGATGTGTTTTATGCAGGGTTTAACATAAGAGTTTTGGTTGTCTTATACTTTTAGCTAGAGGACAATTACTTACAACAGTCTCCTTCCCAGCTTCTCCAGTACAATAGGAATACTTGAAAAAAGAATGACAGCATTTGTATCCCCATCGGCCTTCTTTCCAGTAAGATCCCCAGATATGCTGCAGAGAGAGAGAGAGAGAGAGAGACAGAAAGAGAGAAAGAGAGAGGTTACTTAAAAAAAAAAAGCAACTCAGGAGGCAGAGATCAGGATGATTACAGTTTGAGGTCAGCCTGGGCAAACAGTTTGTGAGATCCCACCTTGAAAAAACCCACCACAAAATAGGGCTGATGGAGTGACTCAAGGCATAGGCTCTGAGTTCAAATCCTAGTATCATGAAAAAACAAAACAAAATCCTGAAACTAGGGACTTTCATATACTGTTGATGGGAGTATAAAATAGTACAAAGGTACTTTGGAAGAAAAATTGGTGATTTCAGGGCTGGTTAACAGGGACATAGAGGACAGACCTCAAGTGTTGAGAAGCTGGCACTGCTGTTAAAAAAAAAAATACAGCAGAAGACATGATGAAAAATGACAAGATGCTGTATGAAGTGATGCAAAATAAAATACACTGTATCATCTACCATGTATTCTTGCCAAAATATTTAAGTTACAGCTTTTGGATCTGAATTCTTGTTTATAGGCCATACAAGGGAAAGAGGATAAGTCATGCTATTACTAGGAAATAGTCAACTATAGAATATGAGACAGGCTACAAAATAGTTTGCAATGTCTGGTAAATGGTCACTGTCAGGAAAACAGGGAGATAGACTCTAGACAGAAGACATAACAACCAAATGATAACCAAAGGAAACTTTAAAGTGGTTCTAATTAAAAAGCTTTTAAGACCATTTTGGTGTTTTTAAAAGGTGATAAAGGACTAAATTGGGATGATATTAAGGAATGAATGTCAATTTTCTGAAGTGTAATAATGGTAACATGGGAATCTAGGGGAAAATTCTTATTTTTAGGAGATGGGATATAGTACTTACGGGTGAAATGTCAGATCTCCAAATTTCAAATGTTTCACCCAAAAAAAAAATTATACATATGTGTATGTATACACACACACACACACACACACACACCAGTGCACATACAAACCTAGACAAAACACAACATGCTAAAAAAAGTTTTGATTCTAGGTGGGTATACAGATAAATTTTTTCACATTTTTGGAAAAATGTCATAAAGGAAAGTCAAAATGTTAACAGAAAACAAAAAGAACAGCAATGGTTAGCAAAGAAGTTATAACAAAACAATGCAATCCAGAGCCAACCTAACCAAGGCAGAGGTCTGCTGGCACCTACCGTGTGATTGTGGATCTTCACACCTTCCTCGTACCGGGAGCAGGCCACAGCCCGCTCCTGCCCTTTGATAACAGCTCCATGTCTTGAGTACTCCACATAGTCTTCGGTCTGGGCTAATAGCAATTCAGCTGGAGGAGCGTCCAAGTGTTCCTGGCCACCATACTAAAAGGACATTGCACATTATTAAATACATTTTATAACAAACAAAGACTCACATTCAAATCCCTGTGGAAAGGTTTATTTTCAATGCGAAAGATCAGATGAATGCTTTTTACTATGCTTTGTTAGAAAAAAATGTCACCACCTTCTTATAGGCAAATAAAATCTGTTTAGTAGTTATCCATCTGTCAAGTGGGGTAGACTATGAGATGGCCATAAATCCCTCTTTTCCGTGGCTGTCCTTTGCCTCATGACTTTGCTGATCCTCCTATGAAGAAATGGAGGCTGTTGCTCCATTCTCTAAATCTGGGCATGGCTGTTACTTGCTTTGGATGGGAACCTGGCAAATGCAATGAAACTAAGGCACCTGAGACTGGGGTGGGGGACGCCTTTTGGGACCCTGATCATATCATTTAAAAAGCTGGGCTAGTCTACTAGAAGATGAGTGACCACGGGAGGCAGAGATGAGCAGTTCCAGATGAGGTCCCATCAAGACAATTAGCCTGCCAGTGAACACTAGTGCAGACTGGAGCATGTGGCTTGAGCTGAGCAGACGAGACCAGGAGACCCAGCTGACATAAAGGAATGTGAGAAATTAGAAATGCCAATTTTAAGCTACTAGGTTTTGGAGTGGTATATTTTGCTGCAAAAGCTCACTGATATAAAGAGTCTCTACCTACTGACTATGTCATGGGAAGGAAAGGGCTATTCCTCATGATTGAAAGGGACTTACTTTGTATCATATTCCAAATGTAGTAAGAACACTTCTTAACTAGTAACTTTTCTTTAAGGAAAGCGATTCTAGCATTTTGGTCAAAATTACCTTTTCCAGGATGCTTTCTTTCTGCTGTTCTTTGAAGTCTTCTTTTTTGACTTTGAAAGACTTATATAGCAGCTCTAGTTTTGTAGGATCTGCCTGCAGATGCACTTCCGATCCCTTGTCATAGGCTTCCCAAGCAAACACTAGAGTAATGAAAAACATCTTCATGAGTGGAAAACTACTTTTACTGCATGCTCTTTAAGGCAAACTTTAAAAAACAATCCTCAATTTCTTATGAGCTGTTATAGAAGGCTTTTCATAGAGCACTTACACTGTGTCTGAGCCATTGAAATGGTATCTCCTGTGTATCTTACGAAGTTATCTCCTGCATAACTCACTCTGTAAACACAAATTTAAAAAAATCTCAGTTTTTAAATAAAGTTAATCTGTAAAACTGGATCTGAATTAAAATGAACACCATCACATGATCCTATACCTAAGAGAACACAAAAACTCTACCAAAAACTACTAGAAATAATAAACTCTTTCGGCAAAGTAACAGGATGAAAAAAATTAACATACAGAAATCAGTACCTTTTCTATACAGCAACAACAAACAGACTGAGAAAGAAATCAGGGAATGCTGGGTCTGGAAACTACAGTGAGTGAGTCAGTATCTTATCCCCCATGGATAGCACTGTGAGCCTGCACCCTCAGAAAGGATACATGGCCTCATAAACCTGCATTCCTGCACCCTGAAGAGGACATACATAGTCTCATAAATCTGCCACAGGGTTGATAAGACAGGATGCTCTCAAGGTTGTTTCCTCCCATAAGAGGCAAACAGACCAGCTCACTGAAGAGAGCCCATGTGCGTGAATCCATGGCCAATGGAAAGACCCACTTAACCCTTACCTAACCCAGAGTTAAAGCATCCTCGAAAAGTCCCAGCCTTCACCTGAACAGGAGCCACCGGTTTCCAGGCTCCACTGCACTGCTCTAGCTGTAGCCTTCTCTTTCTCTAATAAATCTACCTGTGTGTGCACTATCATGTCTTGTGAGCTTATTCCTAAGCCCAGTGAAGACAAGAGCCCCTGGGGCACCCTCACCCCCTGTACCCCACAACAGAAACAATCCTATTTACTATAGTCTCAAAAACAATAAAGTACCTTGGAATAAATTTAACAAAAGAAACCAAAGACTTTTTTAATGAAAACTATAAACCACTGAAGAGAGAAACAGAAGAAGACTTCAGAGGATGGAAAGACCTCCCATGCTCATGGATTGGTAGAATCAACATTCTGAAAATGGCCATACTACCAAAAGCAATCTACATGTTCAACACAATCCCTATCAAAATTCTGCACAGAATTAGAAAAAGCAATCGTGAAGTACATATGGAAACACAAAAGACCTCGAATGTCAAAGCAATTCTGAGCAAAAAGTCCAATACTGGAGGCATCACAATAACTGACCTCAAACTATACTACAGAGCTATAACAATAAAAACAGCATGGTATTGGCACAAAAACAGACAGGAAGACCAATGGATCAGAATAGAAGATCCAGACATAAGCCCATGTAACTATAGCTGCTGATCTTCAACAAAGTAGCCCAAAACGATGGAGAAGACAGCCTCTTCAACAAATGCTGCTGGTAAAACTGGATAGCCACACTCAGAAGACTAAAACTAGATCCTTGACTTTCACCCTGTACCAAAATCAATTCAAAGTGGATCAAAGACCTTAATATAAGGCTTGAAACTTTGAAACAACTTTAAGAAGCAGTAGGAAATACACTAGAACCGGTAGGTATAGGGGATGACTTCCCAATCAAAACTCCAAAGGCTCAGCATCTAAGAGAAACTGAACAAATGGGACTGCATTAAACTAAAGAGCTTCTGACAGCAAAAGAAACAATCACAAGACTCAAGAGACAGCCCACAGTATGGGAGAAAAATCTTTGCCAGCTACTCATCTGACAAGGGTCTAATATCCAGAATCTACAGGGAACTCAAAAAAACTCAGCCCCCAAAGCATCAACACACCAATGAAGGAATAGACACATGAATTAAAATGGGGAATTCTCAAAGGAAGAGGTACAAATAGCCAGTAAATACATGAAGAAGTGATCAATTTCCCTGGTTATAAAAGAGATGCAAATCAAAACAACACTTAGATTTCATCTCACCCCAGTTAAAATGGCCAGAATCAAGGGTAATAACAGCAAATGCTGGTGAGGATGTGGTGAAACAGGAACTCATAAACAGCTGGTGGGAATGCAAATTAGTGCAACCATTATGAAAACAGTATACAGATTCCTCAAAAAACTAGAACTAGAACTGCCACAGAATCCAGTGATACCACTTCTGGGCATCTACCCAAAAGAATGTAACATGGGATACAGTAGGGACACCTGTAAACTGATGTTCATTGCAGCACTATTCATAATAGCTAAGCTCTGGAAACAACTGATAAATGGATCATGAAATTATGGTATATATACACATAATGGAGTGTTACTCAGCCACAAAGAATAATGACATGGGGTTTGAAGGGGAATGGATGCAATTGGAGGACATCATGTTAAGTGAAGCCAGGATTAGAAACACAAAAGAGGCATGCGTGGAAGACAGATCCAAAGAGAAACACATACACACAAGCAGGATCAAATACAAACTCAGTTGTAGAACATGCCTGTAACAATGTAACTGTTCTATGGAACTCAGTGGGGCATGGGAAAGAGAAAAGAGAAAGAATGATAGAGCAACAGTAATACTGCATACCACAAGATGTGAAGGGAGAGGATATAAGATGCTGAAACCCGGGGTGGTGGGGAGGCTAAGGGAGAGTATTCGAAGGGATCAGACACACCGAAGTAAAGCACACCCACAGAGGCCATACATTGAGACACCCTTCTGAATGTCAACTCAAATATTAATTATGAAAACCAGGACTGTAAAATAGGCACGGTGGGGGCGGGGGGGAGAAGGGTGAAGGAAGGAGACTAAGGTGATGGTATATGGTTGATGGACTTTAGATACCTATATGAAACAGAACTAGAAAACCTCTTGTGACCGCTTTAAGTAGGGTGGGGAGAGGGCTGAGGGCGAGAGATGATGGGGGCAATGTAAATATTGTACAACGTAAGTCTAATAAGAATTGTCATTATGAACACCCCTGTGTCATGACTATACCCTAATAAAAGTTAAAAAAAATAAAACAAACACCATCTGTAGGTGGATCAGAAAAATCTCTAAATCTAACTGGATACTTACTCATCTGGATTCTTTCCTGCGTTGGCGTAAGGATTCTCTCTCATCGCTCTAGTTTTTGGATCATAGTAAGCAGAATTTGGATCTAAATTTCTCAAATACTAGAAGAAAAAAATGTTTAAAGTCTGAATTAACGTTTACTTCTAGCAAAAAGATTTCACCTGGTAGGAAGAGTTGATCACGATCAATTAAATGCCTGTGTGTACTTTTCTAGGTGAAGAGAAAAAAAAGAATAATTCCTCATCTTGAAAAGACTCTGATCAGATTACACAAGTATCACCAGGATACAACAGGAGGACATAAACTTACTAGAGTGGGGAGATGAGTATTTTTCAAATGTGCAGGTTAGGCTGTCAAGACTTACTTTTGCAATATCTTCTCGAATCCTGAGATTCCGGACAGTAATTCGTCTCTTAGAGTCAAAATTCTGCCCAGGCATATCAATATCATCTGCATATTTATCTTCATCCTCGTCTTCACTGTTATGATCTTTTTCCTGAAAGAGGGAGTAAGAAATTGTAAGTAAAAAAGAACAGCACCTCCTTCTTGTTTCGATTTCAAATAAATCAAACCCCTGCTTACTTATTTCAAAGCTACTATTATCATTACTGTTAAATCAGTCAGTGAAATCTTAAAAAGCTAATGTATACCCAGAGGAGGCAAATATTTATTACCGTTTGAGAATTTGGTTCCTCTTCTCCCCACTGGTGTTTTGGAGAATTCTGCATAGTGAAAACGGGAAAAGTATTTGTAATTTTATTCCATTTAATGTACTGATTATTTAGCACTTAAAAAATATGATATAATTTGAGTCTGGTGGTGTAGCTCAAAGCAGAGCACTTTCCTAGCATATATGAGGGCCTGGGGATGATCCCCACCACTAAAGGCAAAAAAAAGAGTAACTTCTACCTGAACAAATTCCTGTTATTGCTCACTAGTAATGAGCACAAACATCCTGAATACAAGTATGCCACTGTGAACAGTTCATTTTATTATAGGGTCTACAACCCAAGAACAGTTCTAAGAAAATGATTTTTGACATAGGATAATCAAAGTAACAGAAAGAAAAGATGACCAAAGTAGGGCTGGGGGTTTGACTCAAGCAGTAGAGCTCCTGCCTAGCAAGTTTGAGGCCCTGAGTTCAAACCTCAGTACAGCACCACCACCCCCATGGCCAAAACCCTACTATCCAAGTGGGGTGTGGTGGTGTACAACTGCAATCCCAGGTAAAGGAAAATATTTGCTTTTTTTTTTTGTCACAAAAAAACAGGGATGGTGGGATGGCAGGAGTAAGATTACATACTTGCATTTGTTTGATTTACACAAGAATAAAAAAAGGTTGTGGGGGTAAGGTTGAGAGGTAGGGTGGATGGAGGCAGGGCAGAAGACTTTTTCACTACACGTCTTCTTAAATTCTTTCAATTTAAGAATTGACCCATGTGACTTTATGTTAAAAAAAAAATAAATGTTATTCTGTGTCTTTATTTAATGACACAGAAAACAAGTTCCAGCTACACTATATGTTATTAAAGTAAAAAAGCAGGTAATAAATGATTATGTAAAGATAAACCCATTTAAAAAATATACAATTACATACATAGTATAGATATATTTGGAATAGGACGTTGTTAAAAAAATTTTATACATACTATATTTATTCTGTTAAGTTGACATGGATTGAAAAAGAAACTGGCTATAAGTCATGTTTTTGGTTTTTAGTATGAAAAATATTTTCCTCTGCTATAAGATTAATACACATTTACTACTAAAAATATGGAAAAGACTAAAAAACCCACAGGTGTTCTGCTTTTTCTTTTTCTTGTGGCAATATCATATTTTTTGTATCATTAAAATATAAGTATTACCCAGTAACATCAAGAAACTCTTAATAAATGCCATTTTAAGAGCTATGTTACATTCTGGAATGCAGACACATGGCCACTTAATTCCCTGTGCCTGGATATTTAAGCTATTTTAGTTACCTAAATTGTAAAAAACATTGCAACGAACACCTTTGTGCATACTGATTTTTCTGAATTCTATAAAACTCTTTTGTATGGAAAGACTTAATTTAAGTTCAGAAAGTGTATATGAATATTTTCCTTCTGAAATGACTGCACCTGTCACAATCCCATGACTGGTATTAACAGTGTCAATTTTACTCCTCCTCAGCAGTACAGGTTGAGTACCTCTTATCTGAAATGGTTTGAATTGCGAATTTTTTTTTCCAGATTTTGGAATAACTGCATACACATAACAAGATATCTCAGAAATGGGGCCCAAGTCTAAACACGAAATTCATCTCTCTTTTCTATGTACCTTATACACATAGCCTAGAGATAACAATATATTCAGTATCTTTAGTGTGCCCATGACCTGTCACAGGAGGTCAGGTTTTCCACTTGTGGCATCATGATGAAGCTCAGAAAGTTTTTGATTTTGGAGCATTTCAGATGCTTGATTTTTGGATTAGTGATGATCAACCTGTATTATATTTTTTTCTCCCTAAAATCTTTTCTAACTGGACAGATATGAATCAAACTCTTGTTTAAAATTTCATTTCATTGTTTAAAAAACTTTGAATATTTTGCATTGGTCATTTGTATTACTTACAGCTTGTTCCACTAATTTTCCTGAAGCTAATTCTTCTTGCAGTTTCTGGGCTTTCAATGTTCGTTTTGCCTAAAAAAAAAAAAAATTAAATTTTATTTACAACATTCAAATGGCTATTTGGTTTTTATAGATATGAAGTAAGTATTCAGAAAAGTCACCAAACAAGAGTTTCCTTTTAGCCCCAGGCCTATGACTTTCCAAAACAGAGGAGTTACAAACTCCTGTCTGAACCAGGCTTTAATGGAAGCCAGGCCAAAAGGGCATCCGTAGCAATCTGCAGGGACGAACCCTGACCAAATGCCAGCTGACTCCAGATGACTGATTCCCATCCTGACCACCAGACCACCAAATGTTTCAGTGCTTAAGAAAAGATGAGCTAGGGACATAGCTCAAATGGTAGAACACCTATCTGGCAAGTGTGAAGCCCTGAGTTCAAACCCCAGTATTGCCAAAAAAAAAAAAAAAAAAAAAAAAAGGATGAAATCTAGATTTTTATGTGAAATCTCATGATTTTAAAAAATTACCTAAATTTTTCTTTTTTTTTAAAAAGGCAGTGTTGAACATGCACAGGAAATTAATGTGAGTCAACTCCCTGTATAGCTATCCTTATCTCAACCAGCAAAAACCCTTGTTCCTTCCTATTATTGCTTATACTCTCTCTACAACAAAATTAGAAATAAGGGCAAAATAGTTTCTGCTGGGTATTGAGGGGGGGGGAGCGGGAGGGGGCGGAGTGGGTGGTAAGGGAGGGGGTGGGGGCAGGGGGGAGAAATGACCCAAGCATTGCATGCATATATGAATAATAAAAAAAATAAAAATTAAAAAAAAAAAAAGGCAGTGTTGACTATGGCTTTGAGGGAATGGGAATAAGTAGGTGGAATCACAATAGAAGTTGAATTAAATCAAATTCAATTTTCTGAAACAAGTTATCTACTCCCCTTTGAGTATCCCTAAATGTTACCTGAAGCAGCTGTAAGTTGCAGAAGAAAGTTGTAGTCTATTACTATAAAAATGATGCCACTTTTACAGTGCACCAAGACTGGAAAAACATAGTTGCTCTATTAGAGACACAGCAAAATGCACATTCTTTAAGAACAGTGGAAAAGCAGGCAATTTTGCTCACCAGATCGACTTTGGCATACTCTTCCACAATTTTCATGTGCTCTTCTGGGTTGTAGCCATTCCACCGATCTCTCTTCCCATCATAGTCGAACATCAGCTGAGGCTGGACATGTTCGTCGGGAGCTATGTTAGTTCCTGTAAATTTGGCTCCAACGCGCCTTGGTCTCTGGAAGACAGAAGATTTGTTTTTCCCCTAAGTACCTGTAGTCCAGAAAATTTCACCTAACTTTTACAAAGCAGGCATGAACATACTACAGAACTTTCAGAGTCTGTTCAATCAGTCTTCCAGCAGAAAATTTTGATGGCGTTGGACTAATTTTATTCAAATTAATTTTTATTTAACCTAGACCTGCCTGTAGATAATTTTAGAAAAATAGAAGTTCTCTCTGACAAGGAAACAAGATTCTTGACAACAGTTTCCAAAATTCTCAAAGGTGAGCCTACCTCAAAGCAGTCTTTCTTTTTGTGTGTCATGGCCCCACAGTTTTCACATGCTCCTTTGCGGTACTTAGTAGTTATGGAATTCTATTGAATGACATAAAGAAAAACAAAGCAAATGTTTTATTTATCCAGGGAAGTTAAAAATAGCTTTGGCTGTCATTACTTCATTACTATCTTGTTTACTGAACTGATTTACTTGTTAAAAAGAAAACTAGTTAAGAGTTTCTACATATTTATAAATGTGAAAGCTTATGGATTTCAGCAACATAAAACTTACATACAAAAGAGTTTATATGAGAAAGTACAGCAGATAAACTTGTATGCATTGTGAATTTCAATACCAGAAAAAAAAAAGGGTATATAATGTGCTTCTACATTACAGTTCTTAAATTAAATTCTTAAAATAAAACCTACATTTTTTTTTTTCTTCTTTTCGTTTTGAGACAGGGTCTCACTATGTAGCCCTGTTTGACTCTGAACTCAGACTGGCCCAGACTGACCACAAACTCATAAATCGAAAAAGGGCTGGTGGAGTGGTTTAAGCAGTACGGTGCCTGCCTAGCAAGCATGAGGCCCTGAGTTCAAGCTCCAGTACCAAAAAGAAAAAAAAAAAAAAAGATTTAGCCGGTTGCTGGTGGCTCACGCCTGTAATCCTAGCTTCTCAGGAGATCAAGGTTTGAAGCCAGGCCAGGCAGAATTCTTGAGACCATCACAAAAAAGGGCTGGTGGAGTGGCTCAAGGTATAGGCCCTGAGTTCAAACCCCAGTACCACAAGAAACAAAACAAAACACCTCGTAATTCTTCTGCCTCAGCCTCCCTCTGAGTTTCTGGCATTAGCAGCTTGCACCTCCACACACAAAATGTAGTTGCCTACCTCTTTTACACCCCTCTTGTACCATTCTCCAGAGGAGCTGAATTGCTTTTGTTTCTCTGGTTGAGGTCTCTGATGCTTTAAAGTAGGTCTTTTTGATGGATCAATATACCATGGTACTGAAGAAATATACTGAGGAATATGTGGGTTGATATCTCTGTAATAAAATTTAAGAATAAAGTTTGAAAACAGTGTTTTAATTACAAAGGAAGCCTACACAGAATCTAAGAATAGAAATACCACAGTGGATGGAAAAGAGAATACGGTTGCTTATCTGTATAACATGGTAAAGAGCTAAAGAAGTAATTTATAGTATAGTTAAAAAATTTCTAGTCAAGATACTAAAACTAATTATCTAACTGAAAGGAGAAGAGAGGAAGAGAGGAATGTGTTAATGAGTTAAATATATCAGAGCAAGAAGTTAAGGTCTTGAGTCAATTGATTAATATTTCAAAGATGTCAAAGTAATGACCAGAAAAGCTCGAAATATTAAAATTTAAAAGTAGTCACTGTGGATTGGTACAGGGGCAGGAAGGGTGAAAAAGGATGACTGCTGTTCATTATAAGCTCTTCAACATTACCTGATTTTAAACCTTATGCTTATGAGTTTGATAAAATAATAAAAACACTGTAAATGGCAGGACAGCTTGCTATCAAAGTAAAGGATGAGAAGTTATAAGCTAAGTAGATCTGAATCTAAGTTCTGAATGAATAGATAATGCAACAAATTACTTACTTTCCTTCCTCATCAACTTCTGCAGGAGCATTACCCAGTTTTCGCTGTTCTTCTAGCTCCTTCTTCTTCCTCCAGTCTTCTCTGGTCATCTTCTTTGGTTCCTCCAAACTCATTTCTTTGGACCCCGAAAGGGGTGCAGCATTAACCGTATCCACTGCTGTTGCCGACATAATGAACTGGTTTTCTCTAAGAAAAAGAAGTTGTTGTTTACAGTAAAAAGTAAGCCTTCATGAATTCACTGAAACTACAAAATATACATCCTAGAACACACACTGAGGGCTGTTTATGTCTCATATGTTCACTCTTTTTTTTTTTTTTTTGTGGTGCTAAGGATCAAACCTGGGGCCTTGCACATCTTAGTCAAGCACTGTATCACTGAGTTACACACCAGCCATATGTTCTTATTCTTTCATAGTTTCTATTAAAGGGTCTTTTTCTTGTATTTAAAAGTCTCTATATATTCTTAGTAGTGTTTTCCCTCAATGCTAAGTTACAAATGGAGGGAGCAATGCACATAAAATTCCAAAGACCTTCTCATATATATTTTACTGAATTCCCTTTTCCATGTATGTGTCTCAAAGTACCACCACAGTAACCCTTAAAGAGAGAATATATCACCCATACCTGTTCCTCTTGAGGACCCAAAGCCTTAAGAATTGTCTGTACCAGTCCTCTAACTTAGCTTCCACCTGCAACTATTCCCATCGAAGACTTACCACTATGTTATCAAAAATTAATGTGCTACATCCATTGGACATTTTCCAGTTCTGCTCCTTCCCTTCTTATATTCTTATTCCTTGGCTTCCATGACACTACATTCCATTGGTTTTTCCTGTACCTCTTTCACTGTTCCTGTTGACTCCTTTGCAGGTCCATCTATTTCTGCTCATTTATATAATGATAAGATTCCTCAAGGCTGAGCCAGAGCTTCAAACTACACCAGATTCCAAGGTTCAACAGCCATAATACAGCACGGCTGGTGTTCCAGCTTATTTCTCTACTCGACACTTTTCATTTGAGCTTCACACAGATATATTCAACTATGTATCTGACACCTCTACTTAGACATCTCAGAGGCCCCAAAACTCAACATACTTCAAACTCCTGATCTTCCTTCTGAAATCTAGTCTCCTTTCACTGTTCCTATTCTCAATGAAAGACAACACCATTTTTTTACAAGTGTTTCAGCTTATCCCTACATTTATTTCACTAGGAATTACTTTTACTTTCTGAGTATCACTAAAATGTTACTTCTTTCACCTTTCAATGCTCCAACTTAGCATGAGTTTTACTTTTTCTGACTTATTGGCTCCTTTCCAGTCTCTCCAATTAGACACTTTTTTTTTAAAACACGAATTTGACCATATCGTGTCCCACTGTTCAACTTTAAAACCGTTCAGTGATTTATCATGTCAGAGAAATGTAATGCCAGCAACATATATAAGTTTATGTTTTCCTGTAACTGTATTAAAAAAGTAAAAAGAGCCAGGGGTGGTGCTGGACGCCTGTAATCCCAGCACTCAGGAGCCTGAGGCAGGAGGATGGAGGGCTCCAGGCCAGCCTAGGCTACACACTGAGTTTGCAGCCAGCTTGAACTACATAGCAAGACCCTGTCTCTCTCTCTCTCTCTCTCTCTCTCTCTCACACACACACACTCACACACACACACACACACACACACACAAAAGTAAAAAGAAAACAAAATTACTTATCCAATTTTATTTAACCTAATATACTCAATTTTTTATACTGTCAAGTTCCACTCAGCATAAAAAAATCAACAGTTTTAAAAGCTGATATGGGTTTTATACTTATTTGGACTAGCCATATTTCCAGTCTCAAAAGTGACAGGGTGTTAGTAGCTCTCATATTGGATAGTGCAACTCAACAGATCTCATCATTCCTAGTCTAAAAACCAACGTCTTTTCTATTCAGTTAGCCTAATCCACCATGGTTTGGCACTTGACTATTTTCCAGCCTTATCACAACTACTCCACACCCAACTACAGACTTTCTCATACTTCCTCTAACAAACCAGGTTCCCTGAGAACACTGGGCCTTTGCACAGCTTTTTTTCAATATGGCTAGGAGTCTATGATGCCGCTCAAAGGTGTTCTATGGTCTCTGACCCATACAAAATCTCCACAGATTTTTGTGTAATATACAAACTGATGATCACCTAAGTATACTGTGAGGTAAAGGAGGACAATGGTACATGCATCACATTCACTTGAAGTGCCATTTCTTGAGCTTACCACGCATAATCTCATCTAACACTACAACTCCATTTACAGCAAAAAAACAATTTCTAAGAAGTTAAGACTCTCAGCCTAGGATATACACTAGTAAGAGACAAAGATCTCCTCGCTGGGCACTGGTGGTTCAGGTCGGTAATCCTGGCTACTTGGGAGGATCGAGGTTCGAGGCCAGCTGGGACAAATAGTTCTTGACACTCCACCTCCAAAATGCACTGGAGGTGTGACTCGAGTGGTGAGGCCCTGAATTCAACCCCCAGTCCCTTCCTCCCACCGACAAAAACAAAGATCTCCAACCCAGGCTTGACTGTAACGTTAATTCCTTTAAACCATTATTGTATACTCCATGGGGCCTGCAACGTTCAAAATTAAAATGGAATAAAGTTCCTGTAGTCACTTAGTTGTATTCATTAGATTCCCTCTTTGTGAATAGACCGCCTACTTTCACCAGGTAAAAACAATCTCTCCCACTAACTGGGCGCTTGTTAAGAGTTTTACACAGACCAATTATTTTAACCTTCATTAATGCCTTGGAAAAGGAACCTTCTCTACTTAATGAGAAACCTAAGGCTCAAAGAAATTGTGGAGAGGAAAGAGCCTGTCAGCTTGGGTAGGAATCTCCGTTCGACCCACCGATTCTCTCTGAGGACGCAGGCTTGGTCTGGCTGGACACCAGTATCACGCCAGCGTCCTAAGGAAGCAGCTTCCTTCTCGGTTCGCTGTCCTCACCCAGGGGGTTCATCACCCCCGCCAGGGCATAACTTAATAACCCGGAGCCCCCGATCCATTCTCTGAGGTTCCCCAATTCTCCTCCTACCCCAGTCCACCGCTTGCAATTTCTCAGAATCGTTCATTACCCAGTCCCGCCACAGCTGAACGCGAAAGCATCCGACAACCAGGAATCCAAGTCGCTAATGTTTACTTCCGGGTTTTCTGCCCTCTCCCGGCAGCCACTGCGCCAGCTTCCGGACAGTCGACACATGCGCACTAACAAGTACTTGGCGCTCACGGTCCTTTTACGCCACGGGTGTCGCGAGATGCTAGCTTCCTGCTTCCCTGTTTACCCGAGGTCTTGAAAAGTTATTTACGACGCTGTGCTTTCCGGCACTTAGCTTGGGAATTCTTGTGTCTTTTAGAGTTGCAGAATTTTTCGGACGTAAGAACGACTGAACAACCGAAAAACAGCTAAAACTGACAAAAGTTTAGGTCTCACTAGAGAAGTGTGAAGTGAGTGGGGAAGTTCGTTACGTAGTAAGCAAAACCAGTAATTAAATTAGTTTTAATTAGTAGTCAGGCTCTGCGACTCGCTGGCGAGGTAGTGTTTAGCACTGTGTCTTCTCTCGAGTTTACAAGATCCAGAGTGAGAAAGGCACGAATAGATTTTCAAATAGTTGTCAGTTGTAAAAAGTCACCGTGAAAGGAATATCAGGAGCTCTGAGAAGGTAGGACAAGTTTTGGTAATTGGACGGCTCACACGGAAGCCAGCGTGCGTCTTCTCATAGAAAAATACTACAAAACAATTTCGTTGTTGGACGGACAGTAGTGTTGACATCCCAGTCCTCCTTTGAAAATATACATATAAAACAAAATACTGGAAAATAGGCACAACGTTTGTGGTAGGATTTCTTTGTGCTACCTGTTCTTTCACGTATCCCTCCATACGTCTTCCTTTTTAAGTGTAAATTTGAAAGTTAAGTCACCAACATCCCGGTCTTTATGAAAGATTCCAACGCAATAGACTTTTTTTTCAAAAGAATTTGCAATGCCTCGGGTTTAGGAATGTAAATATGAATTTTGATTTTTCAAGGCAATAGGAGAGACTAGCCTGAAGGTGCGTAATCTATGGATCACTCAGACTTCTTTTTTCCCCCACTTAAAAAATTCCTGAATTTTATTTATGAGCCTCGAGGACTAATTAGTCAGACAGAAGCCAGAGAACACATTTTCCAAAGGAGTTGTAGATTGTGCTGGACAAGAGTGAGGAATCTTTTCTAAGGCTTGGGTTCTATGGAGGATTCTGAGGAGGCTCAGAAGCAGGGATCAGTGCTTGGTGGTGGTTTTTTGTAAAGTCAGTTTAGGAGAAACTGGGATTAACTAGGGACTGTGTGGTAAGTGTGTCTGTGTGATGTTAATTTTAGCAATTTGGTAGATTTTTCCTTAGTAATAGGTGAGAATAACAAAGCAGGTCTGGGAGGATCAGTAAGAAAACCAAAGTGGCTGTGGTTTACAACTGCTGTGTGACCTTGGGGAAAGCAATACTTTCTGTTGATGAGAAACAGGAGAAAACCTCCTAAGGAGTTAGGAACCTTGCACCCTAAAACCTTAGGAAATGGAGAATGACTGCTTGGAAGCTGCACATGTTGTACAGATTTGCTCTTTCTTTTGTGGTACTGGAGTTTCAACTCAGGGCCTCATGCTTGCTAGGCAGTTGCTCTATAATTGAGCCACTCTGCCAACCCTTTCTTGTGCTGCATATTTTTGAGGTAGGGTTTGGCTTCGAACTGTAAACCTCCTGATCTTTGCCTCCAGAGTAGGTAGGATTACAAGCATGAGCCACTGGCACCCGGCTCAGATTTATTCTTAAAAATCAATATTTTTGTATGCCAATGATATAATATGAAGATGTGGAATTTAGGAGGAGATACTGGGAGAAATTAAGGGGCTGAGGGAATAAAAGATGAAGGACAGAGAAGAGACAGTAAAAGTATGCATTTTGTTTTCTTCTTTACCTTCTAGAGTTAGGGTCTTTTTGTTGCCTAGCACAGTGTCCTGCATTTACTGGTTATTCTATAAATATTTTGTTGGATGGATAAACCAATAAGTTTAGGTCCTGAAAGTGACAATGAACTGGCATATGCTGAGGACTGTGCGTGTGCTAGGTATTGTGTAACACCGTCTTATCTGCAGGTTAACCTGTGGGGCCTGTGGGAAGTAGAGTTTGGATCGCATGGATCAGCCTTGATCTTTTGAATCTATTCATTTATCTCGTATTTGTTAATGTTGTCATTTTCTTTAGAAATGGGAAAAGGCTACCACTTTTTTCAAGAAATTTTTTTCCACCTATCTGGAAATTCCTTTTTTATACCTTTATTATTCCTCTGGTCTTCTCTGTACCTCCACCAGGTCCTTCCAGGCAGATTCAATGAATATTTTATTGATATGTTAGAGGTTTAAAATAAGTCATTATTAAGTGATAGTTTTAAAGGAAACCTGAGTTACATATTTATTATGATTCTTAAACAGATTTGTGATGCTGTAAGAGAGACAGCATCTGATATGAAGTGTTGATCATAGTTGTGTGACTAGGGAGAAATTGATCATTTCTTAATATCAAACATAAGGGAATGACTGAAACAGTACTGTTTTATTTGTCCATGTTATATTTTTTCTCATTTTTTTTTTTGGCAGCACTGGGTTTGAACTCAGGACCTCACACTTGGTGGGTAGGTGCTCTCACTGCTTCAGCTACTCAGCCAGCCCCTTTGTGTGTGTGTGTGTGTGTGTGTGTGTGTGTTGTGTTTGTGAGAGTCTCAGTCTTTGCCCCCAGCTCAGGAACTCTTTGCCCCCAGCTGGCTTTGAACCTTGATCCTCTTGATCTCTTCCTCCTGAGTACTAGGGTTACAGGTGTGGGCCACTGGCACAGAGCATTTTTTCTTAATTTTTGTTTCTGCCCTGCGGATCTTCTCTAAACTCAATATCAGTTGTTTTCTCCACCTCCCTTTATACGTATTTTTATTTCTGTAATTGAAATTAGGTTAGACAAGCCAGGCACCAGTGGCTCATGCCTATAATCCTAGTTACCCAGGAGGCAGAGATCTGGAGGATTGTGGTTTGAAGTCAGCCTCAGGCAAAAAGGCCCCAAGACCCTATCTGGAAAAAAAACCATCACAAATAAAAAGGGGGAAGGAGTGGAGTGGCTGAAGTGCCTACCTAACAGTCGTGAGGCCCTGAGTTCAAACTGCCAAAAAAAAAATTAGACAATTATGTACCCATTTTCCCCCAGTTACTTTCTGATGGCTACAGTACCTTTCCTCAAATGCTGTCTCTTGTTAAACTCAATCTGGTCCGTTTACTTTTAGGGTGAAAAGTTAATCAGTTGGGAGACATTAGCAAAATAGTTTGATCACCTCCTGGCTTTGACTTTTTTTTCAGTGTTGGGGTGTGAACTCAGGGCCTCATGCTTGCTAGATAAGTGCTCATTATTTGAGCTACACCTCCAGCCCCTTTTCAGTTGTATCTCCAGAGTCCCGGCTGGCATTGGGCTGCCATCCTTCTAGGTCTGCCTCCTGAGTAGCTGGGATGACAGCTGGGACCCACCACATTTGGCTTTCTTACTTTGACGTTTTGAACCTCATCTGAGTCTTTTAAGGACATTGTGGCCACGGAAGTGTCCTGGGGAAAAACCTCTCTATCTCTTGATATGTGATGTTCATAGTATTTATTCCTGGGAGTTGGAGGTTGAATTTACTTACTTTTGTCTCTGGGGCAAATTACTCCTTTTGAGCGTTCTTGTAGAGCACTTGTTGGGGAGAGATGAGGTACAGTTAGATTTCATTTCTTTGTAGATTTTTATAGACATTTTCTTAATTGTAAATTTTAAAACTCCTACATTTTATAGTAGTATGTGTTGTTCTGTGTATCTGAAACTTTTCAAATAAATGTCAGCATCAAGATCCCTGCCTGTATCACTTCACAAAAACAAACTGTTCTCTACTTCTCTTTTTGATTTCAAAGACACCCCTCGGGTGACAGGGAGCATTGTCTAGGTAGACGAATTATTCATGCAGATCCTGAGGTTGAACGGAATTTGCAGGTTTTGAGGACGTGAAGGGCCCCATGTGTTTGGAGCAGAGTGAGGTTGGAGGGAAATGCGTGCATTTTGGGTCGTGCGGGATTTGGTTCGCCGTGTTAAATTCCTCAACTGTGATGGAAAGTCGTTAGGTCCTTCCATCTGCTCGTGTAGCAGTGGCCTGTGACGGCTGCATTTTAGGACACTCAATGTCAGCAGGAGGAAAAAGTAAATCATGGCTCTCACGCCCACTTTTGCGGAGTATGCAGAACTCGTGACATGGAATACGTCGATGGCCGTCCAAGTGCAAGCCGGCTGAAGAATCGCGTAGGCGATGTAATCACACGCATCGGGGAAAGCTGGCGGGAAACACCAGTAAGTTAACCGGGCTTTCCAACAAGGGTTGGGCTTTCAGGTGACCTCCATTATTTTTTTTTAAAGCTGTCAAATTTATACAGTATTTGAAAAGCCGAAATAAATACAGCACAGTTAAACGCTTTATTTCTGTTACTTATTTTCAGTCCTTCCTACAGTGTCATTTAAATAAAAGACCTTCAGGCAATAAAACAGCTTTATTGGCTCAGTTTCTCCGCCCGCACAACTCAACGTGGCGGACGGAGAACAAAAACCCCCTCAGGTGTTCTGGATACTCTTCCCAGGAAGGGAGTTACAAGTTTTCCTAACGCTTTGGGGCGGGGCCTGGCAGCTTCGCTTCCTCTCATTGGCTCTACTCTCAGACTCCTCCTCCTCCAGGTCCCGCCTCCTCGCGGACGGGCCAATTGGGTCGCGAGTTGTGGTTCAAACTGCGGGTGCGCGGCGCTGTGGCTGCGATGTCTCGGGTGAGCGTGGCGGTTGGCAGCGCGGTGGGAGACCCCGAGGGTCGGGAGTGGCTGGGCGGCCGAGGCTGGCGGGAGGAGGTGGGAAGAGGGGCTGCGGCCGGGCCGGGACTCGGGCTTCCTTGGGGCGTCCGTGGCTCCGAGCCCGATTGAGCCACTGGCGGACCCCGGCGATTGTCTTGACGGGCACCCGTCCCAAACCTGCTCGTCTGCGGTTTGGAGCCTCTGACTCCGGCTTGAGGGTCTGGGACCTGGATTTGTGCCCGTTGGCCCAGCGCCCGGACGCCTCCCGGGGTAGAAAGGTGGACTTGTGCTGTCGCTTTCCCAACCCCCTTATCTGGTACTTGTTTCACCCCTAGAGCGACCCACGATGGCTACTCTGATCTTCGTGGATAAGGAAAATGGAGAAGCAGGCTCCCGTGTGGCTCCTAAGAATGGGCTGAAGCCGGGGTGCGGGCCTGGTGAGTACACGGCTGCGGTCACAGTCTGGGGTGAACGATGAGCGTGGCTGGGAGCCAGGCGGCCTTTACTGTGCTCCGAGGGCGGTGGCCAGGGCTGCCACCTTCCCGGGCTCACTGTCTTCGTGGAATGACTGCAGGACTGACGGACCCCGCATGGAGTGCTGCGCTGCCAGGCACCTCCTGGCTATGCCAGCTGCCTGAAGTGAGGGTCTGGCTTGGGGCACCCGCAGTCGGCGGGCGTTAGAGCTGCAAAGGTCTTTGTTGGCCTGGTGTTGCATGGTGAAACTTTTTTCTTTTGGCAGTCAAAGCCTTAGATGGCAGAGCTCAGGTTTCAGCACCACAGGTTGGCAAAGTGTTCCGTGCTCCACCAGCCTTACCTAAAGCTGCCAGAAAGGCTTTGGGAACTGTCAACAGAGCCACTGAAAAGTCAGTGAAGACTAACGGGCTCCCAAGCAGAAACAACCAAGCTTCACTGCCAAGAAGGTAAGTGCCGGCTGTGAGGACCGGATTGAGCCCTGCGACACTTCTGGTGGGCAGAAATGACTACGTTCTTCTGAGGAGAAGGGAAACAAAAGCTAACAACAGAGGATGATTTCTGTTGTACTTACAGGCTTCCCTGTGCCTTACAAGTAGCTAATGCGTAATTTTGCCTCACTTGTCCTTAGCTAGTGAGTGGAAGCAGATTTGTTGGTGGTACATACTTACTGAGGGGGGGTGCTTGCAAGAGATCACATTGTTGATACTGCTCAGGTACTGCCATCCTTTTCCCTGCCTCCCAGAGCAAATACCAGCTTTTTAGCTGTTTTTCTTTGTGGTACTGTGGTTTGAACTTGGAGCCTTGCGATTGCTAGGCAAGTGCTGTACCACTGGAGCCACACCTCCAGCCCAATATTCATTTTTTAGATGACACTTTGCTAGTACACTGATCTTTGAGTGTGGTCACAAGTTACAGGACAGTCCTCTCCCAGACTGAGAGGACTTTGCTGTGAAAGATAATTCTAGCATGTGGATTAATACCTTGAATAATTGTTTTGTCTAGTGTCTTAGAAAAAAAACTATCAAACCTGTACATGTAGTGCAATTTTAGGTCAAGGAGGTCTTTGTAAAAAGTTAACTAAGAAAATGGGTGGTGGAGTACACCTGTAATCCCAGTACTCGAGTGTGAGGATAGCATGGCGTGAGACCCTGCTTCAGAAAACAACAAAACAAAAAAAGGAAATGTTAACTACAAGACTTGTCCCCGGTCACTGGATAAAAATAAGGCTGTTGCCCAGAATGGAAGTGTGGGAAATCTTGTGGTAGGGAATTCCTCTAGGTATATACATATAAGGAAAGATAAACTGAGGATACTCGGGCTTCCATGTTAGCCTATGGTACATACTACTTAACAATTCTTCAAAAGTCCAGAACTATCTTTACTGTTCCTCTGTATTTGAGGAACGTAACTTGTTAATATTAGCCAAGAAAAAAATTAAGGTAACCCTGGTAGAAAAAACTTTGTAAGTAAAAAGGGATTAGTTACTATTCTGGATGGCTCATGCCCTTTTTCTCCTTGGTTAGGTTTAAACAATTGGTTAATTAGCTCCGAATTAACTCAGCATTCTTGGTAACATGCTGACAGGTGTTAATACTTAAACTTCTGATTTAACTTTTAATCTATGCTACTAGAATTATATTTGAATTTTATTTACTTTATATTGGAATTTTTAGATGTAATCATGAGAACTAAGGATTATGGCTTCTTAAAAGACAGCATGAAATTGACAAATTGAAACAATTGCTCGAAGAAGCCATACAATCTACAAGAGTTCATTCTCACTGATCCATATTTTCTTGAATTGTTTCAGATGACTGAGAAGACTGTTAAAGCAAAAAGCTCCATTCCTGCCTCTGATGACACCTATCCAGAAATAGAAAAGTTTTTTCCTTTCAATCCTCTAGGTCATATCTTTTGATAATGATTTTGGCCTCTAGTTTCTCTTTGAATTTGTTTCAGCTGTGGCTTGATATGGATATAACATATAATCCCAAACTATAGTAAGACCGAATCTGGATTGCTTTGAGTAAGCCTCTCATTCAGGTTTTGCAGGTGACATTTACAAAGCGTCACCTTAGGTCAGTAGAGGAACAGAAGCAAAAATGTTTGAGCCATTGTTGCCATCCTCAAAAGCTTAGCAGGTAAGGTGTGAGAACAAGTAGGTAGGATTATAGGCATGAGCCACTGGTGTCTAGCTCATTTATAGTTTTTTAAAAATTTCCTGTTTTTTTGTGTGTGTGATTATGTGACTTTATTACTGATCTTTTTCTTAATTTTAAAGAACTCTTTGTGTAAAGAAAGTTAACCCAGACTTTCCTCTGGAGTCTCATTTATGGTTTCCTTTAAAATTCAGTGGGTTTAATTGAGTAGTCACATGTGCTCAGTTTCTTTTTGACTTTTAGGTTTTACCAATCTTAAAGAGCAGACTAATTCCCAAGTACTTAGGTTTTAGAGGGCTTTTACTGCTAAAGGACATAGATGAGAACTAGTCTGAGCTTTTGGAAAACAGTTAACCTCATTGAAAGACTTTATATTATGAGCATACTCTTGTTACTGTTAAGAAAAATCAGTTTTGGATAATCTGTAAGAAGTAAGGTACTTGGATTTTAAGAAGAGCTACCAATTAACAGTGGTGTCAAATTTTTTGGTTGCAGGGCCCTTTTATATACTCTCCAGAAATTATCCAAACAATTTCACTACTGTGTTCTGTTTGTTTTTCCTGTATTGGAAATTAAGATTGAGAAATTCTAGGACTATTCACTAAAAAATAACTTATTACATTAATGTAAACAGCCTTTTTAAAACATAAAATAACTTTTCCAAAATAAAGTTTAATGACAAGATTTGCATTATATTTTTGAAATACTATTCAAAAAATATATTTTGAAATATATATGAAATGTTATATAACATATTATATATGAAATATAATATATTTCAAACATAACTTTGACTTTAACTTGGCCTAATATAACACCTAGATTCTTGTCAGATTTTGTGTTTAGAGTTGCATCTGTTTTGTTTAATGTAAATGAAGAAAATATGACCTCACACACGTGTAGATTGGAAAGGGGGAGTATTAGTCTCTTCAGATGAGTGTGGATTGTTTGATCTGTCACTAAGACTGATCAAATGACTGTCTGAACACATCACTGCAGTGTGGAATCTGAGACCATACTGATGAACAGTATTCCAGTAGCAAAATCCTTTAATCTATTTTGCATGTGAAATGTGTCTTTTATCCTTGCATCTATCATGCATCTATTACTTAGAAATTCTGGTTCATTAAGATGTAGATATCCAGATGTTGAAATGTGTTAGGAAACATCAACAGCACATTCATTAATATCACCACTGTTTTCATCAGAAGGATGTAAGTATAAGCTAATGAATGCAAGATAAGTTTTCTAAACTATGTCCAGCTAACTATTGCAGGTAAGTTTTTTCTTGACGCTTTTTGAATTCTGTCAATGGCAACAAAGACTGTTTTCCTTAAAGTGTGATAGACTTCCCTCAATCTCTTGAAGATGTGTAACAGACACCCCAAGTTTGACCATAGGTTGTCCTTTAGTTCTTTAAAGTAAAAATAGTGTTCCAGGAAAAGGTCATCTGCTTTAGCTTGCAACTCACAAGTGCACAATTCCTTTTTCTTTGAGTCATTCTCCTTCCCTGTGGAGCAGGAATGCTTTACTGCATATTGCTCACTGTATCACACAGAATCTTAAAAGGACTTCTTTTTCAGAGTTGAGAGCTAATAAACATCCTTTTTACCGTGTACAGCAAAATGACATTAAGCGATAGTGGATTTTCTTTTTTACTAAGAGTGAGTAGTAGTGAGGAATGTAGGAATGTTGATACAGTTCACTGCCACTGCCTTGATTTGTGTGGGGGCAGCAATGATCCTATCAACTATTCCCTTTGTGCCATCATCATAGATGTCAACACAGTGGAAAAGGCTATTCATGTCATTGGGAAAGTAGTCCTGACTTCCTGGACCCTTGGTAGGGTCTCAGACCTCTAGGAATCTGCTGACTAGACTGAGAACTGTTGTCATGACACCACACTTTCCTTTATGACAGACTTTGAGAGTTTTGACCTGCCTGAAGAGCACCAGATCGCACAGCTCCCCTTGACTGGAGTGCCTCTCATGGTCCTCGACGAGGAGAGAGGACTTGAAAAGCTGTTGCAGCTGGGCCCCCTTCACCTGTGAAGATGCCACCTGCACCGTGGGAATCTAGTAAGTGAGCTAGTGCCCTCTTGAAGGGCTGTGACCAACTTGTTTCATACACTTCTGTTGCTGTGGGGACAGAGTTATGCAGAAAGTTGGCCATGAGTCATTTCTGTTCTTTGAACTATAGGGGAAGTTCCAGAACAATGAACTCTTCTCAGTTGGTATTATATTTTAGTCTCAAATACTCTGGCAAAATGAAATCTGGAATCTGGTCAGTCTTAGATATGGCAAGAGATTAAATTTAACCTATAGCTTAGGCTGTAAGTTGTGTACAGTAAACTTGTACTGTCATAATTTAGTGAGGCTATTACTCTGCTCTCTGAGAGCGGTAGAGGTTTAGGTATTTTCAAGACTTATTTCCTGATGGAGGTCAATTTTAGGAAATGTGTTCGAGGAGGGGTTGGAGGTAGGATTCATTAGACAGAGGGAAAAACATGAATTTAGATTAAAAGTTAATATCTGTGATGGGGACAATGGCTCAGGATTTTCAGAAATCTAATAAGAAATTCCTCTTTTCTAGATCTGTTGCAGTCTCCCTCGAGCATACTCTCTACCCTGGATGTTGAATTGCCACCTGTGTGTTATGACCTAGATACTTAAATTTCTTAATGTGTTATAGCTTGTGTATGTTGTATTAATAAAGAATTCCTTTGTTTAGCAGACTCTTGTGACATTGTGATTAGTATTCCTTGAAACTAAAGCAGTATGAAAACTAGCTGAAGTGTTTTACAGACTTGCCTGATTTGTAAAACTTAAAATCCTATGTTTTCAGGGCTGGCTTTAGAAGCTACCACTGTTTTCTCTGAAAAGTATACTCTTCAGTTTGCGTCTTTGTGGCCATTAGCTGCTGAGTTATTAGATCTCTTAATTAGAAGAGCTACTTCCAACTCATTAAGTATTTATTGCTAGGTATTTTTTAGTGCTGGTTCTATTAAGTTTCTAATAACTTATAATGTTCAGTAATCAGAATTTGAAAGGCTCTAAATCTTATAATTCAACCTCCTTGGAATCTTCAGTTTGGTCCTCTGAAGATCACTTCAGATAATGTACTGATACTAGAACGCACTCTACCTATTGGAAACTAGTATTCCTTTGCTTATCCTGTGTTGGACATTCAGTATTTGATAAGCATTATTGTGCTCAGTGTTTATGATCCTTTTCAGATAAGGACAATGAGGTTCAGTAGCATTGACCTGGCAAAGGCTGGAGAAACAAAATGATAGAGCTGTTACCAGTGATCTTGTGCTTACTGCCCAGTGTGTACTCACTGAAACTGAGTTTTGCAAAAGGAAGCTTACTCACAAGGAACCCCTAAACCTCATATCCATCTGGAGGATAGTGCTTAGGATGTTTATGAGGTAAAGGTGTAAAGTTGTCTTAGGTGAGGAGAAAGGTGACTGGAGGCAGGCAGAAGTGAAGTAATCTGTGGTCTGCACGTGTATAGTCAAACTTTATGACTTTACATAGGATGTGTGTTCAAAAACTGGCATTACTGTGATCTGAGTTTTCTACTCTGATGTCTAAAGGTACAGATCATACACCTATGTGTGCTTGTGAAGGGTTGAAGATCAACAATAGCAGCTTCCCAGTACCTGAAGCACACTCAGGCAAATGTTACCAAGATGGCCGTATGCCAGAGGCCTTACCCACAGTAAATCTAACTGCTTGGCTACATGACCTCTAAAATTGGTGGGTATAAGCAAGTGAAGCTCGAGGGTGTGTTCAGATTTTCTCTTGGCTTCATTTTGATGACAAATCTGAGATTGGAATCAAAGTAGAGATTGCAAATGGTTGCCTGAGGGTTTCTTTTTTGGGTAGGGGGCAGATTGTGTTTTAAAAACAAAATCTTTTCCACTATTTAAAACAATCTATTCCACTAAACATAATTCTAAAACTTTCACTATCTGTGGCTTTGGAGTAACAGTGAATCTGGCAATAGTCCCCGATTCTAGCCCTGGCGATGGAATGGGGCCACCTCCTTTAGGTGGAGCGTGGGCTCTCTATCCCACAGATCATCGGAATGGCCTGAAGGGGAAGCTGGAGTGCTCCTTTTGCTCTTTGTCTCTTTTCAGACCTACTTTACTTAATCCACACTACTTTCCTGGCCATGTAATTGAATTTGATCGTTGCTTGATACTTGGCTATATGGAAGGCCTTTCCCTAAGACACCTGTAGCGGCTGTGGTCAGGTGAGAATGTGAACCCTCTCTTTGCCATTGTTGGAAGAAGCTCAGAGGCCTGAACACCTATAGCCACTGATTTGGGACTCTTAATCTTTAAGTACAACTGAATGAGTAGATTTTGGGGTTAGTGGAAAGGCAGACTTCTGAGAGTGGAAACTACAATACAATAAGACCGTCAGGGCACTTGGCTTGCTGGAGCTTATTAGATCTGACCTTCAGGTGTCCTATGGCCACTGTGAAAAGCAAAGTGTTCTGAGTGACTTTCATGTGGTATAATACAAACTTAGAAACAGGAGAATTGTCTCTTATGAGTAGAAGGAACCTAGGGCTGAGAGAAGGGGGGACTACTTAGCCCCTGACAATTATTGTCCTTTGTCAGGGCTTCCTGGTCCTTTCACCTGTTAACCAGATCAGAGTTCTCTTTGAGAGCTTTAAGCAGGTGCTCCTCTACAAATGCAAGGAGTTTTGTTTTTCCTCGGAGCATTTTTTTTTAGCATACGTTAGTTGCACAGGGGGGTTCGTTGTGACATTTCTGAATGTGCTTACATTGTACACTGGTTAGATTTCCCCCGTACCATCTCTTTTCCTTTTCTTCATCCTTGTCTCTATCTTGTCCCTGCTTCCCCAGTGAAGGGAACTTTTATCACATGGGGAGTTTTGCTACCTTGTTAAATTCAGGCACCTGTTGAAATAAGTCATTTTATTTGTACTATCATGTTTTTAAGCTTCTGCCTTTCTCCCCATCACCTCTTTAGTTGCTTACTTGCAATCTCGCATGTGTTGTCTAAAATGGAACTCTCAATTCTCCCTCCCAAATCTTCCCCGTGTCAGCCTTCTCTACTTCAACGAATGGTATTTACTCCTGTCACACATCGGGCATTATCCTTGTCACCTCCATCTATTTGCATATCCATCCTAAAAACCGGGCCTGATGATTCCACTTCTAGCATATATTGAGTTTGCTCACTTCTTTTTACCTTTCACATGAAAGCTGTCACCTTTGCAGTGACCAAAGCTTTACTGGATGCTTGTGGGTTTTTATTTTTTTGTGGTACTGTGGTTTGAACTCATGGCCTCACACTTGCTAAGCAGGTGCTACCACTTGAGCCACTCTGCCAGCCCTGTTTTTAAAAATTTTTGAGACAGGATCTGGCTATGTAGTTTAGGCTGGTCTTGAACTCATAATCCAGATTCTACCTCCCAATTTCTAGGATTAAAGGCATGTGCCATTGCACCCAGCCTCAGAGTGACATTTAAAATCCTGGCTTTGAAGTTATGGAAACAGCCAAGATGCCCCAGCACAGACGAATGGATTAAGAAAATGTGGTATCTATACACAATGGAATTCTATGCAGCCATGAAGAAGAACGAAATGTTATCATTCGCTGGTAAATGGATGGAACTGGAGAACATCATTCTGAGTGAGGTTAGCCTGGCCCAAAAGACCAAAAATTCGTATGTTCTCCCTCATATGTGGACATTAGATCAAGGGCAAACACAACAAGTGGATTGGACTATGAGCAATGATAAAAGCGATGAGCACACAAGGGAGGGGTGAGGATAGGTAAGACACCTAAAAACTAGCTAGCATTTGTTGCCTTAATGCAGAGAAACTAAAGCAGATACCTTAAAAGCAACTGAGGCCAAATAGGAAAAGGGGAAAGATACTAGAGAAAAGGTTAGATCAAAAGAATTAACCTAGAAGGTAAACCCACGCACAGGAAATCAATGAGTCAATGCCCTGTATATAGCTATCCTTATTCAACCAGCAAAACCCCTTGTTCCTTCCTATTAATGCTTATACTGTCTCTAAACAAAATTAGAATAAGGGAAAATAGTTTCTGCTGGGTATTGAGGGGGGGGGAGGGGGAGGGGTGGAGTGGGTGGTAAGGGAGGGGGGTGGGGGAGGGGGGAGAATGAACCAAGCCTTGTATGCACATGAATAATAAAAGAAAAAAAAATAAAATAAAATCCTGGCTTTGTTTATGGGTCTTGGGCTCTGTACAGGGCTGGTGGTCCTCAATTCACACGAGGGTCTCTGAGAAATGACAACCATGATCTTCCACAATTTCCCAGGGGTCCTCCGATTGTTTTGGTCCAGTGTCATTTCACAGCCTATGCCCTTCTATTAATAACCTTGGGATCTCTTTCCCTCGACTTCAAAGGCTCCAGAGAACAGGAATAGGTGAAGGTTTCCCAGACCAGCACATCAGGATTGTCAGATGGGTTGACTCTCAAGGAGTCCTGCCTTGAGAAATTGTGGGACACAGGGAGCAGGCGGTACCAGTCTTACATTCAGGTAAAGTTCTCTCTGCCAGTGATCTCCTGTTCTCCCAGTAGCATGGAAGAAGACTGAAAGGAACATGCCATTTCTCAGTCCCCGGAACTCCTCCAAGAGCCTGTCTTCACCATGTTTGTCTCTTGGTGTTACCAGGGTGGGCCTCCAGTTGGCTAGCTCAGTTGTGTGCATCTGGGGCTAGATCCCACTCCTCTCCTTGAATGCCAATATTTATTAGTTATCCTAGAGCTGCTTCTGCAGGGACAGAGAAACCTTTCTCCCCATCACGGACACTGTTTCTCTGCAGACCCCCCAAAGCTGGCCAGTTCCTCTTAGGCCTCTTTCCTCACCTGATAATTGATTGATGTCATAGGGCTGGCATTTTTTCAGTGAGCCCAGAGCTGACTTTTTGAATTGCTGCACTCAGTGGCCTTTGGGCAATTAGCCTAAGTGATAGGAAAATCAGACTGCCATTTTCCTCCTCTTCAAATAAAGAGGACTCTTCCCAAGGGTCTTGTTTGTTTAGGTCATGTTCAGACTCTCACTGGAATGGATAAGATGACCAGCTTGTGAAACTGAGTTACAACAGGAAGAAGAGAGCAAAAGGGGCACCTTTGTCCTTGTGTGTACAGGTTCTTAGGAGGATTTGTGCCTACAGTCCTTATGAGGAGGCCCCTTTCTCCTGATAAGGAGGAGTCAAGGATTGAATGAACACTTCTCTGAGCACCACAGTGGAGAGAATGCAGGCCCATCCTCCCTCTGGTGCCTGAGGAATGGGAGGGGGTTTCCAGCATGGCAATGGCACGCACTATCACTCACTTCTGGTTCTGCTGCTGCTGCAAGGTGGGAGTGCCTGTGGTTGGCCACAGCTGGCTCCTGGCTTCACTGCACACACCTTGCACCAGCACCCTAGGATCAGGAGTCTAACCTGGAGATGGAAGGCAGGAAAGGACAGAAGATTGGGAAGCATCTCTTCACTTTCCTGAAAAGAATACAGTGACCACATGGTTCTGTGTTCTTAGGTTTGAAAACTTGGCACAATACAACAGCTTATATTTATTTATACATTACTTATTATCTATTATATTTCAGCTCTGCCTTGTGGTCAGAGGCCAGGAAGTGAGGGTGGTCAGTGAAGTGCTGCAGGGATAGCTGGGGGAGGAGAGACAGGAAAGGCATATTTGCAGAAAGAATCA